AGTCCGAACAAAAATATTCCCAAATTGAAAGAGAGGGCCTTGCAATAATTTTGGCTTAAATAAATTTAATGAATATTTATATAGACATTTCTTTATCCTAGTTACAGATTACTTACCTCTGGTAACTATTTTTAACCCAGCTAAAGGTATACCCCAATTTTCAGCCAACAGACTACGTAGATGGGCAGTAATATTGTCAAATTACAATTATAAAATTGAATATGTAAAATCGGAGCATAATATGAAGCCAATTTTTTATCACGTTTACCTATTGAAAGTCAAAATGAGAGTCAAAATGAAGAAAAATCTGAAAAATATTTTTTAAATTATGTGTTTTATGTGTTGAGGGCCCCGTCAAATATTTCGCTTTTCAAAAAGGTTCAAAAGTGTTTGAGAAACACTGCTCTATAATAATATGGGATCTATCCATTTAATTACATTTTATTTTCTCTAATTTTGACATATAAAATAATATATTTTATAATCACAGCAAGTGCCAAAACGATCTACTTTATGCAACCTGCATAATGTAGAACATTATGAAACTGATTACGAAAAGTTGATTATGTCACCAGTTACGAAATGAAAATAAATAAAACTGCCTCTTTTTTGGTTTTTAAGTCGAAAAATCGAGAAATCGAGTAATCGAAAAATAGAAAAATAAAAAATCGAAAAATCCAAAAAACGAAAAATCGAAAAACCAAATATAGAAAAAAAGGCAATGAATAGTGACATTTCACATTTGAAAATATGACATTACGTTTAACAACAAAAAAGAAAACAGTAGTAGTCGACGCCGATGACACCAAATTAAAAAAAAAAAAAAAAAAAAGCTTTAAATGGCGTTTTATTTTTAAATAATTGATCACCGTTATTGAAAACTGCCCAGAAATGTTGGGGGTAAAATTTTGACGTACTCCTTTAATTTTTCGCGGGTAGTGTCAAAAATCAGATCAACAACACTGCACATGTTCCTTATTTTTATTATTATTATTGAAAAAAAAAAAAAACGTCGTAGGGCAATCAAATACAACAATTATCTGAAATATTTGATTGGAAGTGCCTGCAAAAGAATGCTGGTGAATCATTTTTAAACACAATTTTATAAATAATCAAGACAAAATTAGAAAAAATCTTGTATGTAAACACGTTACCAAATGCCGTTTTGTGTAACTCGTTCATTTTGCAGGACCTCGCTCCGCTCGTCCCGCAAATATTTACTCGTTACACAAAATAGGGCATTTCGTAACTGGTTACATAAATAGCTATTAATTGACTTCCTAATATTTTAAATCATTGAACGGTATTTTCCGTAAATACTTAAATCATAAATAATTACCGGTATATAAGTACCAAAACATTTTTTTTTCTTCGAAGAATAGGCTTATGTCAAATAAACTTAAAATATAACGAACGAAAAGGTAACCCATTTCTAATAAAATTTAATTATTTATTTTATTTTGGTGTGATCGTAGAAAAAATCTTGTGTGTAATTCGACAAAAAGTACTTTGGCTGTTTCGATAACTTTTTGTCTCAACAGCTATTTTGTTACAATAATTTTATAAACTTTTACTTACGGTCGATTTCACCGTTTTGTTAAACGGAGTTTAAAATAGTTAACGAAGATTAAAATGACATTTTTATATTAACAAAAATAAAGTTTAAATTACTAAATGGAGTTTAATATGACATTTTTACATTAACAATGTCATTTTAATCTTCATTTAGTAATTTAAACTTCGTTTGACACAACGGTGGAATCGCCCCGTAGCTAGTTATATATTGATAAAGTGTTATTGCCCTCATCAAAAATGAATCGTGCTGACAAATAAAGTCAAAAAAACGTCTCATAATTTTTTATCTTTTAGTTACCTACCAAAATTAGGTAGTACAATACAAATATTTAAGTCCGGTCCAGAACATCTCCCTACTCCTTCCACCCAGTTTTTCGGTTTTGGCAAAATTCGCGCAGTGACAAATGCTTCCTATGTTACCTCTACCCTTTCTAACCTCTTTGATGGAAACACGCCTTTCTGTCTCATTAAATTAAATTTGTTTTTTTCTTTATTTCGATGATAAGTTTTCTGACAGCTCATTATGAGACCTCAGAACCACTTTCAGCAATTCTTACGCCTTCGATTTAACGGCATTCAAATACCAACAAATTCTTCCCAATTCAGACAAGGGAATCATTATTAGAACAAGATGTAGAATATAAATGAACATGTCTACAGCAATAAATACGTCAGAAGGAGCCACCACAGACAGTGATCGAGACCATGAAGTGACTATAAATAAAGCTAGTGAGAGTGTCTTCAAGTGATGAAGACGCAGAAAATTCATCCGGACAACGCTCAATAAGATTCAATATGCACCAATAGAAACAGTATCGGAAAAAAGTATGGAGAATTACAAAAAAAGTATAGAGAAAATTTCCAAAAATCCAAAAGACACTTTTGAGTTAAAATACGTCAGTATACCATCGTCAAATGAACTAAATACAGTGAAACCTGTGTAAAACGGAATCGCACGGTCGTGCACCAATTTTCCGACATATACAGGATTCCGCGTTACACAGGGTAGATAAAAAATTGCACATAGTAGATTTAAAAAAGTGATGATTTTATTAAAAAAAATCTAATATACGTACATTTAATATATAGTTGTTATTATTACTATGTACCTACATATTTTTATTTATTATTAGAAACAATATAAATTATTATTTATTCCACATTTCTATCAATGTAAGTTGTTTTTTATTCTTTTGTAATACGTAAGATGATTCCATGAATGTCCTTAATTCTAAAATCTTCTTTCTCATCGGTTCGCTCTCTATTCTTTGGGAAAAATCCTCTAACGCTGCAACACTCCTCAAAGCTTCAGAAAAATTTTTTATCCGATCGGATTCTTCAACTTCTGTTCCTGTAGATAAAAATAATAATTTAAGAACAGATCGTTTTGAAAAGCTAATGGGAAAATAATTTTTTCTATCTGTTATTTTTGTGATGGTAACTGAAATCTTCCTATCTTATTTTTATTATGTATTTTAACTTTATTTCTACTTGGCCAAATGCCCAATTAAGATGGAAAGAATAAATAAAAAGTTGTTTATTTTTTTAGAGAATTAGAAAAATCGCTTACCAATTCCAATCCCATCATTATCGTCTGCCACAGTAGTTTCCACGGCAGTTTTTTCTAACACCAGTTCTTCTATGGACTGAAATCCAGCATTTGTTGTAACGGCTTCATCTAATGTGATGTAATCATGAACATTACAACCGGGATTAATTTCAGTAATTAACTCTTCGACTTCTTTTGTAATTTCGTCAATGCCGCAAAACACAATCAGGTTTAATAGTTTTTACTGAATAATCAATCCATCTGATAGCATCCAAAACTGATATTTTTTTAGCCAAATCTCCTGCTGATTGAGAGAATCTCATATTCGCAATAATTGACCGCAGCACTTGTTTTCTGTAATGCATTTTGAAGTTTTGTATAACTCCATGATCGAGAGGCTGTGTTTGACTTGTGGTGTTTGGTGGTAGAAAACACAATTTTATATTGGATAGTATTATTTTGGGGTGACACGTTGCATTATCCAAAAATAGAAGGATGTGTCGATTTTCAAATTTCATTTTTTGATTTAAAATTTTTAGCCACTGTTCCATAAGAACTGATGTCATCCATGCTTTTTTATTTGCTCGCCAATAAACTGGTAGCTGAGGCACATTGGTATTGTTAAAACATCGCGGTCTGAGGGATTTTCCAATAACTAGAGGTTTTTCTATTTTTCCGTCAGCAAAGGCGCAAAACAAAACGGTTAACCTTTCTTTAGATTGTTTGCCTCCTTGACATTTTTCACCTTTAAAGCACATTGTCTTGTCCGGCAGCGCTCTATAAAAAAGGCCAGTTTCGTCACAATTAGCAATGTCTTTTAGGGTATAACCTTTAATTAAATCTGTAATGTGCGATGTCCATTCAGAAACAGATTCCATGTCGACGTCCTTAGCTTCACCGCAGATCTGATTAAATCTTATGTTATGTCGTGTTCGAAAACTTTCCAGCCATCCATTCGAAGCTTTAAAATCTACTTTTCCAAAATGGTTTGCAATTTCTCTTGCTTTTTCTTGAATAATTGTTCCAGATACAGGAAGATTGCGAGACCTTGCATCCATAAACCATTCCAAAACTGTTGAATTTACGTCGTCGTGATGTGATTCCTTTGGCTTTCTCTTAATATCGCCATTACCACCACGCATCCACTCTTCTTTAATTTTTTCCTTGTTTTTCAAAATTTCATACACTTGCGTTTTTCCGCACTTAAATTGAATAACCAATTGCTTTGGAGTAAGTTTTTTTGGTCACTACATTTAATTAAGTCCATTTTAGATTTTAGCGATAATGTATTCGTTTTTCGGTTTGCCATTTTGAAATGTTTGCACTTTCACGGATAAACTCAAACTGCCGTACCTACACAATACTGGTTTATTTGTGTATTTACTGCTTTTGTACCTAAATTTCTGTGATAATGGTTCTAAGTATTGATAATAGTTCGCCCTTATTATGGGGCTTTCCGAAATCATAAACTAATTATGTAAACATCTATAAATTCTTTTATACCTGCAAAGCAATAACATAAGTAGGTTCCGGCTTAACAGATTAGGGAAATTCCGTGTTCGCGTTAGACAGGGTTCCGGCTTATAAGCAATTTTTACATTACAATATGTAGGTAATCGCCAAAATTTCCGTCATACACAGGATTCCGTGTTACACAGGTTCCGGCTTACTCAGGTTTCACTGTATAACTATTGTTGCTAACCATTAATTGAATTTCAAGTTATTTTACCGTTACTACTCTCACCTTCAATAAAAATTTAACAAATAATTAACTTTACTGCAATATCTTTTTTAGAGGTTTAAGACATCCTGTGTGAAAAATCTATATCTTAATGAATTAATGAAATAAATCATAAAAGTAAAAAAAAATTCTTACATCATTAATATGGTCTTATTAATAACACTAAAATGTGATATACGCATGCCTTTTGGAGCTCCTGTAGTACCACTACTGAACATAATAACAGCTGTATCTTGAGGATTTTTAACTTCAGCAGGACGAAAAGTACCCTCATCCTCAAACTGGGTCTGCAAATCGTCGAAAGTTTTATATTTATCCGATTTTCCAAACACTATAAGTTCCGGTTTAGTTTCCAAGTTTTCCAAGCACTTTTCCATATTCTGCACGCAGTTTTCTTCGATAAAAACTAATTTTGGCGAAACGGTTTTCATACAGTGTGTCCATTCTCTTATCGATTGGGTTGGGTGCAACCCAGCAGTTGTTGCGCCCAAAAATTGGGCACTAAAATGTGGGATACAGTTGTCCATGGTGTTCTTCGAGCATATGATTATGTAATGGGTTGAATTTACTCCCAGCTTTTTTAAATGTATCGCTAGTCTAATTGATCTTTGCTTAATGGATGCATACGTTTCTTTCCTGTCTGTAATTGGGTCGATCTGGAAATATAATAACTGTACTGTGGTGTAACTGAATACCAAATAGTATAATGCCTATTTTATACAAAATTTTCTAAGTGTAAGGAGTAAAAATCGTGTTTTTAAAATTTTTAAAATCAACCAATGATTTATTTAATAAACTAATTCGCATGCTAAAAAATAACTTTTTAGAAAATATGGAATGGAAGTTTGCAGTATTTACCACGAATAAAAAGATTATTCTTAAATAATCAACAAATTATTAAAAAACTGGTATCAATATCTCTTTTTTTCTCTTAGAAAATCGTAAAATAATTTGCAATTTTATTGTTCTCGGAACTCTTGATTGACTTAGGAGCACGGCATCGTTGTTTGTTACTATTTTATTTGAATTATTAATTGAAGTGTTATTAGATTGAATAAGTTGAATATTTAATTATCAATGAATTATTCAGTTTCGAAATTTCTTCAAAACAAAGCCGTTTCTAAAAAATCATTAGAAAACAAATTATTCTAAAACTAGACCTTTAATTTGTGTCGTATGTTTAATAAATACCCTGTATATCTGATATTTAAACATATTCTACAGGGTGTCTGTAAAAGGTCTTTACAAAAACATACCACATATTCCGTAGAACAAAATAAGTCGTTTTAAGTAAAATTACCTTTGTACAAACTTGCTTCGTTTGGGCTCCAAAGGGCCTTGAAGTTACAATTTTTAAATCGTTTTTCCCATATACATTTAAAACGGCATATGCGATTTTGCTGAAATTTGGTATATTGGTAAAGTTTTATGTGGCAAAAAAAATGGTATTAAAATTTTGTCCGATAATAATACATAGGCGTAGAACTTGATTTTTTAAATAATTTCACCTTTAAAAATTCTACGCCAATGGAAGAAAAGGAGTTTGAGTATGAAATTTAGATTGCGCAACTCATTTACTTTAAAAAAGGTACTCTTGATAAGACTCGATTACTCTCATGGTTTTCGCTAAATTTCTGTTTTAATAATTTAGAGTGTATAGGTTTCACAAAAATATTTATTTACAACATAATCAAAATAGAGATTTTACAAAAATTGTTCAAAATGTTCACCATTTTCACGCATACAAAGATTTATACGTCGAAGAAAATTAAAATGTATCCTTTCCATAACTTTTTCATCACCTCTAAGATTGTTTATTGCATCTTGAATACGTTGCCAGAGTTGATCCTAATTTTCTACAGGTTCCCTGTAAACTGTGGATTTCAGATGTCCCCATAAAAAGTATTTCATCGGTGTTAGGTCTGGGGAACGTGGTGGCCAGTTTACAGGTGCGTCATTACCTCTGCCTATCCATTTGTGTGGATATTGTTCATTCAAGTGGTTTCAAACGTTTAAAGAAAAATTTGGTGGAGCTCCATTTTGCATAAACCACATATCTCTCCGAAGTTGGAGAGGTAAATCTTCTAACAATTCTGGCAACGTATTTTGTAGAAAATCCAAATAATTTTCTCCAGTTAATCTTCGTGGAAGTATGACAGGACCAACAATGAAATTACCAATTATTCCAGCCCACACATCAATTTTGAATTCGTTCTGAAAATGGTTTACCTTTATTGCATACGGATTTTCAACGGCATAAACATGTTCATTATGGGTATTAGTTATATATTTTCTTGTAAAACCCGCTTCATCGGTAAAGAGAACCTTCTTGACAAAGATTGGATCTCTTTCTCTTTGCATATTAACAAATCGACAAAAACCCAAACGAATTTGAGGATCATGGACTAGTAATTCTTGTACTGGCCTCTTATGGTATGGATATAGCAATTGTTCTCTAAGCACTTTATGAACGACATCTTTACTTACACCTAGTTCCCTTCCAATTCGTCTGGTGCTTAATTCTGGATCTTCTTCAACACGTTCTAAAATGTCTTCTTCAACTTCAGGAATCCTTACAAATGTTCTCTTCCATTAAAAACAGTATTGGGAGCAAAGGAACCGGTATCCCGAAGAGGTCTCTCAACAGCAGCAAAAGTTGGGTGGCTAGGTACACGACGATTTGGAAACCTTTCAGAGTACACCCTGACGCTCTCTCGAGCATTTCCTTCACAAAATCCTAATGTCAGTAACATATCGGTATATTCTGCATTGGTATATTGTACAGCCATATTAATAAACCACGCATTTGTTTTTTTAATTATTGAGTCAGATAGAACACTTTCAATCGTTAACAAGAGATTAGGTGTTAAAACTTGACAATATTTTTATTTAGATGAAACTATGGAAACCAACGGTAAATGTTTTTGTATACGTATTGCAGGCAAATAATATTTCTCAAAAAATCGTACATGGCAAGAATCGAGTATTTTTGTTAAAAGTCTCGATTAGAGGTGTTGAAGAAGATGAAAAAAGTACATTTTTATGTTTTTCATTGTATAAAATTTTGTCCGATAATAATACATAGGCGTAGAACTTGATTTTTTAAATAATTGCACCTTTAAAAATCCTACGCCAATGGCAGAAAAGGGGTTTGAGTATGAAATTTGGATTGACTACAAAAAAAGTACCCTTGATAACACTTGATTTACTCTCATGGTTTTGACAAAGTTTGTATTTTAATAATTATTGTTTATGTTCTAAAATTACTAAAATGCAAATTTCGTCAAAACCATGAGAGTAATCGAGTCTTATCAAGAGTACCTTTTTTAAAGTAAATGAGTTGCGCTATCTAAATTTCATACTCAAACTTCTTTTCTTCCATTGGCGTAGAATTTTCAAATTTTTAAAGGTGAAATTATTTAAAAAATCAAGTTCTATGCCTATGTATTATTATCGGACAAAATTTTAATACCACTTTTTTTGCTACATAAAACTCTACCAATACACTCAATTTCAGCAAAATCGCATATGCCGTTTTAAATTTATATGAAAAAAATGATTTAAAAATTGTAAATTCAAGGCCCTCTGGAGCCCAAACGAAGCAACTTTGTACTAAGGTAATTTTACTTAAAACGACTTATTTTGGTCTAAGGAATATGTGGTATGTTTTTGTAAAGACCTTTTACAAACACCCTGTATATCTGAAAATATTTTACATCTAAACATATTTGTACTATAGAAACTTTTGTAGCTATAATATTTTAAATTAAATAAATCTGCACTATCTTTTTTTTTATTTCTTTTTAATTATATTTCCTTAATATGTTATAAAAATAGTATTGCAGATAAAATCATTTTTTTACTGTTTGCATTTAGATCATTTTATTACGTAAACCTTTATAATAGTTCAAAAATAGACAAAATAAACTTACCTGAAATACATTTTCACTTTGTATGTCACAATTTTCAAAATAGAACTCCCCCAAACCCTTAGTGTACGGTTTGTACTCAATTTTTTCACCACGAACAACTTTATCATCAAGCGACATGATTGAAAAGCATAATAAATTAAAAATATGCAATGAATAAATGCAATAAGATGCAATTATTGAGATAACAGAGGCGGCTACATATAAAGGGGGAATTTGAATTATTGCGTTTTGCATCATATTTCCTTTTTTAAGACGATAAACTTGAAAAATTAAAATTCCGGACATATTGGGTCAGTAATGGATGCAGTTTTACAAAATGAAAGTGAAATATCCGACTACAATTTCTTTGTAGGTGATATAAATATCGATTTAATGGTTGATTGTGAAAAAAAAAATACCTACCAAAGCATTATGAATGAACACGGGTTTTTCTCAATAATTAATACACCTACTAGGGTATAAAATAATTCTTAAACCTGCTTAGACCATATTTTTATTAAATCAAAAAATAATAGATTTGATACACTTATTTATATTACAATACCAACATCACTAATAGATTATCACACTACCTTACTACAATTAATTCTTTGTGAAAAAATAACCAATAATCGCAATAAACCAATAAACCAAATTATTGATAATTAAAAACTTGTCCAACAAATACAAAACATTTCATGGAATAATGTCTTAAATCAGTGGTCGCCAACCTCTCAATGTGTTGAGCTACTTTGTTAATTTTGGAATAAACAGCGAGCTACCCACACGGAAGCCACGTAACGCAACGTAAATGAAATAATCCACAGTTAATTTATCATTATATGTATTTATTTTACTATTTAACTGGTAATACATAATACATAGGTACTAATAATAAACTAATAACAAAATAACTAATATTACTAGTACGTACTTGTTCATAGCTACATTCCTACCTACCAAACGAAGGTGTTTGAAAAATAAACACGAACTTTTATCCAGAGCCACAATGGCATGTCACGTAAGATTTAAAAATAGTTAATAATAACAACAAAAAAGTAACGCACCATCATGAACATAAACATTGAAAAATAAAAAAGCACGTTCAATGAGAAGGCTGACACTCAGACTCGTCGATAATTTTTTTATTGTTTGCAGTATAATTTGATACAGCCATTCGAATACAATTATCAAAATGTTCATCTGTAAGTCGATTGCGATATTTGTTCTTAATAAACTTCATATTGGAAAAAGAAGATTCACACAAATAGGTTGAACTGAATAATGCTTTCACTTTCAAGGCAACACGGCATAAAACTGAATATTTGTCTTTACTTACAATAGGCCAGATACATTTGGTACTTGAGACTAACGATTTTAAGGCTAAATCATTTTGAAACTCAATTACTTCCATTTCTGTTGCAGCGATGTCTTCGCCAAAGTTCTGCACAACACAAGTTGCAAACTGTTGGATATCAATTTCCATAAAGCGTGAAACAACAAACTGCGCTACTAAAGCCATTTCGTTGAAATCCATAAAACAATTTTTGAAGTTATTCTTCAGGGTAGAAACTATTTCTACATGATATTTGCTGTCATAGGGTTCTAATGAATTTTGAGATATTTTTTCTGAAAGAATAGGAAAATGCTTGGCATCGCTTTTAATTAGGTTTTGTTCTCAAAACTCCAGCTTTTTGATAAATGCTTTTATATCAAAAATCATTTCCGCTAGTTCTTTGTCTCTCCCCTGAAGCTGCAAATTAAGTTCGTTTAATTTCTCTGTAATGTCCACGAGAAAACCAAAATCTCTAAGCCAGATTGAATTTTCTAGTTCCGGAGTCGGTTCATCGCATTTGAAAAATTGAACTATGCCAGATAGGACATCATTAAAACGTTTCAGCACCCGTCCTCTACTTAACCATCGGACTTCAGAGTGAAGGAGTAAGTCTCCGTATTGACAGTCAACTTCATCGGCCAAGATTTTGAATAATCTTCTTTGTAACGCTTGAGCTCTAATCTTGTTCACAATTTTTACAACCAGTTTCATAACGTTGTTTAGTTTCAGGAAATTTCCACATAATGCTTGCTGATGGATAATGCAGTGGTAACAAAGAAATTGCGGAAAAGTTTCATCTTTACGACGTAACGCCACCAGACCCTTATCACAACCCACCATAGCTGGAGCGCCATCGGTTGTCAAGCCTACCATTTTCGATATTGGAATTTTCTCGGAAGAAATAATATTTTTTAAATGAGAAAACAACTCCTGTCCAGTAGTGTGTCCTTTCAGTGGAATAAACTTTTCAAAAGATCTTCTTTAATCGTAAAATCACTAAAAACCATCCTGACGAACACGGCCATCTGGGCAGTGTCAACGACATCTGTTGATTCATCCAGTTGAAGTGAAAAATAATCACAGTTATCTAAGTCAGTTCTTAACTGTAAAAAAATATCATTGCTCATTACTTCTACACGTCTCATCACTGTATTAGCAGAAAGTTGCATAGATTTTACAGCTGAAACTATCTCGTCTTTATTTCTAAAGTTGACAAATAACGAATCAGCAGCATCTAAAAACACCTGTTTTATCATTTCCCCGTCTTCATAAAGTTTCTTTTTTTGTGCAATTATCTGGGACACACGGTACGTTGCTTCAGTTGCAGCCTTATTTTTGTCGACTATTCTTAAGAAATATTGATTGTTGTCCAATTAACTGCTTTTTTAACTGTTTCAGTTTATCTTTAACTTCTGTAAAAAAGTATTGTTCTTCCCATTCCGAATGAAAGTGGTATGTCCTTACCTTCTTACAACTGCTTGCCATAATATTATTTTTTGTTGTTCCCTACTAACCCAACTGCTGGACGTTGGTTACGCGTTCAGTTTTAAACTAAGCGCAATGTCGCCGCGCCGTGCGTATTTATCCCGTTAAAAGCAATCCTGATCGTTCTCGAACACTAACGCGCTGGTCCGGCTGGTCGGTTCTAGCTGATTCTAGCTTGATGGCGTCAGCGGCAGATCGCTCACCGCAACGTTGCCGCTGTTTATGTTTAATATTATGACAATTAGATTTTTTTGTGGAATTTTCGGAAGCTTCTCTGATTTTTGCAGTTTGTATTTTTTAAATTAAAATCGTTGTGAGAGCTACCAGAATTGCCTCCGCGAGCTACCGGTAGCTCGCGATCGACAGGTTGGCAACCACTGTCTTAAATAATACTCATCTGGAAATTAAAACAAAAAATTTATTAGTTCTATACAACAATGTGTATAAAATTCTACAAAAAATATTAGGATCAAAAGCAATGAAAAAAAAAAGGAAAAAATGGATGACAATATCTTTTATTAACTCTGTAAATGAAAAAAATACACAAATACAGACAACAACAAAATAATTTAGATTTAATCAAACTTATCTAAACTATAAGAAAGAATTAAAAAAAAAATTAAACAAACAAAAATGAATTATTACAGAAAACAAATAAATAAAGATCAAAACAATTCGAAAAATATGTGAAAAACTGTAAACAAAATTCTAAAAATCTCAGATTCAAAAAAAATTAACAACTATAAAAAATATCCTGAAAACGTCAAGTGTCAACTAAAATATCTACTTTTAAAGATCAAACGTGTCGCCTCAAAATGTCAGTTTTATATTTTTCGGCTAGTTCATTGTTTTTTTAGATACCTCCAGACCATTTTTAAGATGATTACACAAGATCTCATCGCTTTGATGGTTTTTGACGTTGATAGACATTTTAATGTCCAATCACTTCGTTGCAATAAAATAATTTGAATAGTGATTACTATTCAAATTTTTAGATTTAAAAACTTCAATATCTCTCTAAAATAATAGTTTACAATTTAATATCTAATCTAAGTTTATTAATAAAAAATAAAATTGTTTGTTATCTTTATAAATTTAAAAAAATGTAATCTACAAATGTAGAAATTACGTTTTTTCAATATTATGATAATTAATAGAATAAATAATTTATTATCGAAATATTTTAATTACTTACATCGAATTGAAATATAGAAAAACAGTTTTTTCTAATTTTGACATATAAAGTTACTGTGGGGGTATGATGTTTCTTGTCCCACAAATATCTTCTTAACTGATAGATGTACAAATTAATATTTTTCTTCTTATTTCTTTCAAAATTAAATAATTTATCAATTAAAACATGCAAGAATTATTTAGAAATAAATACAACAGTATGTTTTGTGCTTTATTTATCTATAAACAAGTTTATTTTTATTATTTAGACAAAATTATGTATAATTTCCATAAGAAGTCATGTATTTTGAACATCGTAAGCAGTACCAGCGCCCATGCGGTTAATTATAAAATCTCAATTAATGTGCGTTTTTTGGAAGCATATTTTGAGTATGCCAAATTTTTTTTTCCTCTTTCTAGAAATTTTTGATATTTTAAGCATAACAAAAGGTTCTGTCTTAGTAAGTTTTACCTATACGAGAAAAATAAATATATCAATGAGGATATCAGTAGTAACGTTTAAATATTTTGGGCAAACGAAGAAAAAAAAAAGATAAATGTTGGTGTTCGAAATGTCCAAAGATTTCCAAGTGAATTGCCTTGTTAAACTAAAATTCCAAAAAAAGGAAAGTTAAATATAGTGCTGGGTGGGGTTTCCCGGGTATCAATTAGCTGTACATTAAATGGTATTACCATTTGTAAATAATAAAATAAAAGGTCCTCATCTGTTTCAATTCCTTTTTCTAAAAAAAACCTTCTCTACTTGAATTTTCTAAAAAAAAGCTCCCCTACCAAAAACTTCCCCCTCTCATCTTGAGTCCACTTTCTCATACAAAACAAAAAAATCCAGTTGCCGGGCCCCCTTATACCGCTGCCGGGCAGCAGAAATATCAATGAAGAGATCTGAAAAAATACCGGTGTTACTTCCGAATATTTCTTTGGTAAAAATGTTCTGTAGCATATGTCGCTGGTGTTAGAAGAATTGGGTTCTTTTGTAGAAATAACTAACGAGTCATAGGTAGTAGAAAAAGAAGTGTTTTAATTTACTATTTTCACTGAAGTAAATACATAGTGGTTGATTCACTTATCTTCACTAAACAGTTTTAAATATTTACAATTTTAGTTCATCACAATTTGATTAACTAATATAGTTGATTTTTTAGTTACCAACTTGAAAACATTTGTTTGTAGAATTTCTTATGCCATAATAATTGTAGAAGATATA